GACCTCATTATCTCCAGGCCACGCCAGAGCTAAGGAAATGAATAAATCGCCTCAATATATCGGGGAAGGGGCGGGGTGGTTTCTGGTTAATGGGAATTACAGCGAAACTTAATGTTATTTCATCGCTGCCCGGGCATGGAGCGGCCATAGCCGGAGGCATAGTTTGGATGTGGGCGTCGGTTCGCGGCATGGGCCCTGGTGCAAGAAAATAAATGGGGGTCTTCTGCGGTCCACCTCCCCCCCCCCCTTCTCTTCGTGGCCCGTGTGTGTCCCTGTGCCATTACGCCACCTGCACCCTCGAGAGCAACGCCACTGGCTGAACCCCTTGGATCAGAGGTCGCAACCGGGTACCCGATACCCGTACCCTAACCGATACCCGGCTACCCGTACCCAGCCGGGTACGGGTACCCGTTTGCGACCCTGGTGCGGCCGGGTACGGGTACGGGTAGGCCGTGAGTCACTGGTGAGTAACTGTTTGTCACTCATTTCCCAACGTCTTGTCTCTTCTCACAATTCAAGTTCCTAGAATCAACCCACCAGCGCCTGCAACATGGCTTCATCCCAGAGGTCGCAATCAGGTACCCGATACCCGTACCCTACCCGGCTGGGTACGGGTACCCGATTGCGACCCTGGTGTGGCCGGGTACGGGTAAGGAATCAAAACCCGTTTGCGACCTCTGCCTTGGATTAGATATCACCATCCGGAGAGGCACTGCTTGCGAGCACCACTTTACACTCTTAAACTGTGAAGCGTTCCCACCACAGCAGCTTGCAAATCGTTGCGATGTTTGTTTTATAATGATATGTTTAAAAGTTGTTATCACGATGTAAATATGCGTCACGATTTTACACGTTCCCCACGACAGCAAGCAAAAGATTGTTGCAAGCACAGTCTGTTCGTGGCGGAATGCACATGAAGATTTGTAAGAAAGTTTTAATTGTTATTATTTCTAATACCAATGGAGTGCATATTACCCACCGTGAAATATGAATCACAAACACGAACACGGATTTAAAGTGCGAGCAAAAGCCAAAGAGTTTGCAAAGGAGTTAAATTTAGAGACAGAAAGAGAAGAGCGTGACTCAAGAGAACAAATGCAACTATTTATACGTTGGGTTGGGATGATGGCTGAAGACCGAGACTGGTCATGAATTCGCGGCCAATGGAGCGAATGTCGACAACAGGGCGACCGGCGGAGGGACGGAGCGATGGGTCCGTCTCGTGGCCAGCAATGAGACGGATTGTGCTTTCACAGAATCACGAGGAATGACGATGGCCTTTAACCAGCAGTGGATAGACAATTTCGGACGATGATGATGATAATTCAGACGGTGGGGAATAACTTTTGTTGCTTGGCCTCACAGCAATGCAATCACTGCAGCACTACAGTATCTGTGCACAAATAGTTAACTTTCTGGGGAAGGACAAATGAACACTCAAAACATAAAAAAGCTGATAGTTAATTTACAGCTTTAACTACTTGTTTTTTTGTTCAATTTGGCCTCGACACATTATAGCAGCTCTAACTCAGCAGCTGTTGGGGTGCTTGGGTTATTGTTTAAACGCTCAGATAATTATCAATTACAATTGATGGAGATGACTCACTCCAGCAGCTATTGCGATTAACGAGAGTTTGAGTGAAAAAAAGGTGAATCTTTACGACGCTAATGTCCCAGTAAATCATCGAGAACTTTGAACAATAACACTGTGCCATGACACACTGCGGACTTTCCTTATATAATCGTCGAAGTGATTTCCGGCACAAATGAGCAGAGGCAATGGGCGTCTCCCACCTAGTGGTGTAAATTCTGCGTTCCTATGGCAGGGATGATTATCTCCATAGGACCACCACAAAGGTGGCACTCATTGTATTGACCCCCCAAGGAGTGATAGGGTCGAGTCAATCCCCAACCAAAATGTCAACTCACACCTTCCGATTGCAAGACACTCGTTTTACAGATAAGCTACCTGGCGATTGGAAATAGAGGTCAACAGAATCTTTAAAATCCATATTGTTTTCAAATGCCAAGGAATGATTGGAATTAGAAATGAGACATGACTTACTCAAATCATCGATTTAAATCAATTCTCTAAGGTTCCGATGCATGCATTGAAGTCAACCGTATGCTTTAATCGCTATTACTTTCCACACATATACGTTGTATTCTTCACAGCTATTACAATGTTTCCATATCACGTTTGCTCTTTGATCCATATGTTCCACTTTTTGTCTCTCATTTCTATTTCCCAAAGTAAACATGCACCTCCCCTAGTTCTTCACAGACTTGTCAACTTTCTTTGGAGCACGACACGTCCCCAGGAGGCACGGTGGTCAGTGGTCGAGGCTATTGATCAGAGGATGTCCACCTCTCGCTATATCCCTTGCTAGCTTCTCTACTGCTAGCCTCTCGCCATATACGCTGCTAGCTTCTCTACTGCTAGCATTCCGCTATATACTCTGCTAGCTTCTCCACTGCTAGCCTCTCGCCATATACGCTGCTAGCTTCTCTACTGCTAGCCTCTCGCCATACACGCTGCTAGCTTCTCCACTGCTAGCCTCTCGCCATACACGCTGCTAGCTTCTCCACTGCTAGCATTCCGCTATATACTCCGCTAGCTTCTCTACTGCTAGTCTTCACACACTCACACTTAGGATTCCGCTAGCTTCTCTACCGCTAGCTTCTCTCCTGCTAGTTTCTCTACTGCTAGCCTTTCTACCCTCGCCTCTCCAACCTCGCCCTTGCCTCCTGTGGGGTTCAGCCATCGCCGCTGGAGAGGGCGAGCAGGGCCTTGGACTTCTCTCGTCTTTCCTCTTGTCTTCACTCCGACCAACTCAACTCTCTCCTCACACGCTCCCGTGTTTATCCTCCTCCTCATTAACTCCTCTCTAATGAAGCTGGCGACCTCCTGTCGTCTCACGCCCCGTGGCTTCCGCCGCTATCGCCTCAATCTCCCGTCAACCCGGCGCCTGTTCCGCGCCTGCATTTGCAGCCAGCCAAACACTGCCTTGCATCTTAATTGGCCGTCTGCTTCCCGTTGCTTTCTCTCGCAGCAACTGTTCGCCCTGATGCGACCTCACTGTCCGTAACGCGCACATGCGTGCACACCGTTTGCAACCCCCCTCCCCCCCACGCATTACTTCACTACACATATACTGAGTGCCACGATGGCGGGATGTTAACAACCTCGCCTGGTATACAGGAGGTCGTGGGTTCGATCCCGACCCTGACGCCTGCTGCATATTTGGAGTTTGCCCGTTCTCCTCGTGGTCGCGTGGATTTTTTTACGGGTCCTCCGGTTTTTCCCTTCACATTTAGAAACACGCTTTGAGAGTATTGGGCTGCTACACATTTCCAAATGATAAAGCTGCTTCGTTGAGATATCATTTTGACCCGGTCGCTTCTGAAAAAGAGATGCATAGCTCAGAATGTCTTACCTGGCAAAATGTCCAAAAAGTGTCGTATTTTTTTATATTTAATACCAAAGTGGGGAGATCATGGCTGATGATAACAAATATATGCAGTGGGTTCGTGTTAGCCCTTCAAACATGTTGATTCCAGCGAGTGGCGACCATGCCTGCACAGAACACTGCAATATTTCCAGTGTATGCTCCAACGTAGTTATTACTTCCACCAACACTCAATCCTAATGCGCCTTTCACAAGTGTCAAGGTGGCTGCGCCCACACCAGCCAGCCAGCCGGGGCAATGCGATAGAGCATCCATCAGCAGTGACTCACAAACACGACGAACCAAAGCCGAGTTCAATTCTTATTTTAGGCACGGGAGAATTTACGGTGTTTGGCGGCGACACTGCGACACAGGGACCTACTCTTACAAATTACATCCACGATGTGTTTTTTTTTTAAATTTCGACTGTACAGCCGATGGGGAGCTGTGGCAGTGAACCCCATGAAGTCGGTGGGCACCGGGAGCAGGATTCGAACTGCTGCCCCCCGTGCCAGCTGCCCCCTCGGCAGTGAGAATGCAGAGAGGTTCCGCTAACTGATCGAGGTCCGACACCACAACATGGCGCACGGCCTCCCGTTGCCGTGGGCGAACGAAATGTGACAAGGACATGTATCGGGTAAGTGGGGCGGCATATGAGATGAACACACACACACACACCACTAACCAACCGAACACTCTCCCTGTCCATAGCCCTAATAGGGTAGCTAATCAGCCCATCACAATAGCTCTTTATCTTTAACCCCTAAATATAGCCTCTCGCCTTAAGCTATCCAATGAGCCCCTAAGAATGACCTACCCCTTACCCTAACCTTAGCAGCACTTCTGGTGAGTCACCCTGGCAAGTTTTCCCATTTTGGTGACTTTTGGGCCTCGAATTTCATCTTGACGAAACAGTTTAATACCATTCGGGCAAATCTGCCTCATTGTCAGTGCCTAAGAAATCGAAATAATTTTTCAAGAAGAGAAAGAATAAAAATAACGTAAGAAAATGGCAAAGTGGAGAGATCATGGCTGATGATGACTAAGTATATGTTAGTGGGTTTGTGTGAACCCTTCAGCCGTGTGACTCCAGCGAGTGGCCACCACGCCTGCACAGTACGCAGCAACATTGACAGTGTAGGAGTGCAACACAGTTATCACTTCCGCCAACACTCAATCGTCATCAGTGCGGGATTATCCTAATAGTAAGCGTAGCATATGCTACGGGCCCCACGTTCAATGCTTTCAAGCTATCAATTACAGCTCAGTGATTCTGCACTTTCTCTATTACTATAGTCCTATACTGCCTTCAACTTTTATGAACGACTGGGTGTTTAAGGTTAGCGATTTTTCGTATTATCTTGCTGCATAGCAAATGAAAAAATACAATCACTTTACAATGCAAGTAAAACATGTCTTTTAACATTAACGTTTTTTTTTAAATTCAGGGGCCCCTATACAAGATATGCTACAAGCCCCGCACTAGCTTAATCCGGCACTGATCCTAATGCCCCCCCACCCAGCCAGTGTCCCCACGGCGCCGTCACCCACCGTCCTTCTTGTAGAAGACGATCTCGGTCTTGAACTCGAGCTGCGCGTCCAGGGCGCGCTCCACCTGGCGCGCGAGCGGCGCCGCCGTCTCGACGCCGTGCAGGAAGCAGCACGAGCAGCTGCGTTGCATCACCTCCGTGCGGCCGAAGCCCGTGAGCTCGCAGAAGCCGTCCGAGCAGTAGACGATGGGGAACCCCTGCGGCACCTGCGCGTTGCCCAGCACGAAGTTACTGTCTGCAGCCGCACACACGCACACACACACACACGCGCGCGCACAAAGACAAAGATCCCCCGTGTGTAGCCTTAACAGACTGTTGGGGATAAGTGCTGTCGGTTCAAGATCATTTATTAGGTATAGCCCTGTGAGCCATTCGGCTCTTGAATCGGGTGCAACCGAAACAAACAAAAAACATGAACAAAAAACATCTTAAAGTGAATATGTAACTGAGTGCAAACAGAAAATCCAAGAAAAGACAGCAAAATATTTCAGAAAAAAACACCGTACACCAACGCTGTGTGCAAAAATCCCAGTGAGATGCAAGTCAAACAACCTATGAAGAGTGGAACGGCACACGAGGGGGTGGGTGGCCAGCACCACGCCCGGCCGCCTTTGTCTCCCCAGTGGCGATGTTGACACACCGCAACAGATACTCATTTGAGACTGAGTCGACCTAGGAGAGGTCCCTGACCGCTTCAGATAATCGTCAATGGTGTTGGCCGTGAGCGGGAATCGAACCCGGGTCGCCAAGTTCGTACCTCAACGCGCTAACCGCTACACCACCGCTCCCCACAGACACACGGTCACACGCACGCGGGCACACGGGCGGCCGTGCGCGGGCAGACGGGAGGGGAGAAAGAGAGAGGTCAACGGTGGAAAACCAGTGGAGTGGCCAGAGCTGGATTTGATGTCGTATCGGGCAGGGGTCGCCAAACCAAAAATAACAAGGAGAGGCATTTTTTTTGTTCTAATTCGGCAAAACCAAAAAAAGCCAACCCCTCGATATTTCAAGAGCCGCAATGCACTGCGGTGGTGAATACGAGACGGGTGTGGGTCCTCTAATAAAGAAGTGTCTCGAAGCGGTGCCTTCAGGAGCCACCGCACGCGGGTGAGGAGCGGCAGGTGGCCCGACCCCTGATGTCGGATGTTCCGGAGCTGCGGCCCAGAGCCTTGGATCCACAAAATCCCAACAAATATGCGGAGCTGTATTGCACTAAAATCATATCTTCCTCTTAGTTTTGTCGGTAAAGTCACGTAGGTAAAAAATGAAATTTAAATTAATATTTGTATTATTATTTAATTTGATTAATTTTTATTTCATTTTTTACCTACGTGACTTTACCGAAAAAACTAAGTATGAATCCTTGCAGTCACGAAAACTTCAAATATATAATTAAAATCATATCTGTCAAAGGATAGCGTACATATCCTCGTTTGTTTATATATCAGTAATATGGTCTACGTTAACCTGTGTAATGTTCAATGATTCTGTAGCTTCGTTTTTTTCATTAATGCCGTGACAAATCTAGAGGTAATGTGATCAATCGAGCCAATACGCGCTGTAGACAATGTAATGTTTAACTTTGAATTATGTTTGCAATATTTTCCATTGTTCTTGTAATGCGTATGGTTGTTGTTTTGTTTTTATTCTGTCTATTTGCTTCGTTTGTATTTGTTTAGCTTTCGTCACTTTGGTGACCCAGGCCGCCCTTGCAAATGAAACTACCCTCGTCTCCCGAGTTCGTACAAAATGAACGTGCAACTACTACTACATCCACGGCAACGGCTGGCTACTCACTCGCCACCAAGCCTACTGTTTGTGCTCTTCTGTGCATTTAAAGGTCCCTTCATCAGCATCGACAGCATTAATGTCACCTTGTTGAAGGGAGAACAACACAGACTTAAAACTACCATAACATGATTGCATTCAAAATTGTGTGCACACCTCCGAGCCATATCTAAACACGTTAGGGGTGTCTGGACACCCACAATGCCCACAGTCGCTGCTACCCTGGCAGGCTGCGGAACTATCCTCGGGCCCATGGGCAGGAGCGGCCAAGGTTCTGGGTTACAAACTGTGGGCTGGTGGGAGGGGTGAAGAGGGGATTGGACAGGGTGTCCCATTTCATTCCTTGCACGAGGGCCCATTGCAAGTACTCTATGGCAATGGTGGGGACAGGAGCAGCGAGAGGCAGCTGTCAACTGGCGCTTGTGCCATACGAGAAGTGGTTGATGATTGTACGAGCCATTGAAAAGTCGCCGGGAGGAAAGTCCTTCCCGTGACATGTTTTGTTTGTTTGTGATAATGAACCCGATTCTGTCACTCCAGTTCTCAGCCTTCAGCAGTGGTGTTATGTATAATACATGTGCGCTGTGCATGTACACACGTGCACCGACAATGCTCGATGTTCATCTATAACACGGAACGTAGTAGGTACAAATGGTTACACCATTGCGCATGCATGTCCGGGGTAGATGTGCCGAAGCCCCTTCCTTTACACACCGGCCTTATGCGGCGCTGTCATAGAATGCGTGCATCGTCGGGTTTTATGGGCGATTATACGAGTTCGCGCAGCGCAAGCGAGGCTATGCAATGGTTTTGATATCCTGCTATGAATGCATTATGAACTAATCTATGCACGTGCTTGACCAGAAAAGTGGTGCTCCACGCTCGGAGAGGTTAAGAGGGGGTCACCCAGCTCAGTTCCTACAAATTGCTTGCACGTCAGCAGCCTTAACCCCCAGCAAAGGCACGCACACACAAGCGCGCACACATGCATACACGCATACACACGTACACACCTTGTCACAGACATCCACAGCCATCAATCGGAATACTTGGAGCTGTCTGGATCTTGTTTATGAGCCGGACTCATTCACCTGCCATAGAGTTGTCTATAATAGTGATATGGTGCGTACTGCACATGTACAGCCCTTTGTAAATCCACTATTGAATGAGGGCATGTCATGCCCTGCGGGATCCTGGGAGATATTGGACTATACTTCACCGTGCCAGTCGGTGAGGCTTGGTAAAGGCCGGAAGCATAAATGTGGAAGCACAGAAGTACAGTGCAACATTAGATGTTGATGTACTGCCCAGTACTGCCTATCACATAGCCCCGTAGCCTGGTGGTCACCCATCCAAGCACAACCCAGACTCAAGCCTAATGAGCTTCCGAGATGTGATGAGATTGGAAGTTTTCTGGGAGATTTGGTCACATAGGCTTGATGTGTAATGCACATTTATTCAAATAGTGCACAATCCATAGCATACATCATTATATATCTATATGAATGCGAAGTAATATACGTTTAATTGTAAGCTATGATATACTGTATGTAATATGATCGTGTTTTTATATTGGAAAATGGTTAAAGTGTTTGTGGGGGGGTTATTGATTAATTGTTGCCATTGTAGAATTCCAGAAAAAATAAGTAGGCTAATATTTAAAGAACACATAAACAACTTGAATATTTTGTCGTGGTTTATAATCACGCAAAAAATTACTACAAACACTGGTCTACAAGATGATTTAAAAGAATACACCATTTCGCAGCATTTCACGGTGCGCGGTGCTCGCCGCGACTCTGCATGAGGACACCCACGACACCGAAAACAAACAGGGGCTCCTCGTGTTCCCAGTGCGGCGTGTGTATTTGGACAGTCGGGTTCAAGTTTCAAATTTATTTTGTATGACCAGTCTAATTTGCAAGAGTCACCCGGGGGCATTTGGTCTGCCGGTAGGGGGCGCACGTTTGCTGTGTACAATCCCAATTGAGTGGTTTGGTGGGAATTTTATAAATGGGCAAATTTGGACCCTGATGCCGGCACACAACGGCCTACTCTTACACACGATGGCAAGGAATCTTCAAAGTCCACCGTGAGGTAGACGCGCACTGCCGCTAGGCAATGTCACCATCCAAAGGGTGGTGCAGTGGTAACGCTTTTGTGCATCATGGCAAGAAGGGTCTGGGTTCGATTCTCTGCAGAGTTTGTATGTTCTCTCCCAATTCTGCATGGGTTTCCGCCGGATCCTCCGGTATGTAAACTGGTACTTGCCAAATATCCCAATGCTGAAAAATCCCCTGCAAACATTACTCAATTGCGATTACACATGGTAACATCGCCCCTTCTGCGGCAACTGGACAGGACCCTCTTGAAAAGAGCCTCGAGACTTAGTGAGACTTTCCTGGGTAAACAAGTGTAATAATAACGACGATGTAGTTTCCATTGCATAAATGCCCCTCGCTAGCCCGTGGATTTTTGTTTCACGGGCTAGTAATTAAATTCCACCTGGAAAAAGACATTTGCGGATCGAGGAGGAACCTTTGTGATGGAGGTTTGCTGCACAATTTATCGAGTGAAATAAACATTCCAAGATCAAATTACACACACACACACACCATAGTGTTTGGGGATTTAAGAGCCAGATTTGATTATGTTTGCAATGTCAATCCATTGAAGGTGCGAATTTACATGCAAGCCGTTTAGTGAGTTATTCTTAAAATTTGCGAGCAAAGGTTGCTATTTAATTTAAATTACATTGACTGTTAATTAATTGACTTTAAATGCACGCAGTTTAGCTGCTCTAACACAGTATTGAATAGTCTATGAAAAAAAATCACTATATAATGTTATTGGGCACAATTTGGTTGTGTGATGATTACTTATTTAATAATGATATTTGGTGTTACAAGTCTTCCCAGATCAATATTTTAAAAGAAATATTGATGTTGCCTGATTCTACAGGACAGCAGTGGAAGAGGAACATGGGTTGGATCGGTATCTTTATCTCCAGAATTTTGCCCGGGCTAACTCTGAACTGGCAATACTGCACACACAGAGCGAGCCCATGCAGCGCTGAAAATAGTTTGCTATTTTAAAACAAACAAAGTTTACATTTGTATTCCAGATGGAGACGATGGCGCCTGCTGTGTTGGCATGCGTGTGTTAGCGCACGTGCGCTGCATATTGATGCGCCCGCTCGCATAAACGCCGTTGCGCGCATTTTTCAGTGCGCATCAACGGCGGAAAAATTACCTTCCTGCAGCGACGCCGTTCGGTTCAGAGGGCTGACGTGGACAGTTCAGACGGCTGATATGAGTGACAAAAAGGCCAGAATGCCGAAAATCCGCTCCGTAGCTATTTCACGGCACAGCGGTGGCATTAATACTCCATCTCGTGTGATGTTGTGCACACGCTGGCAGATGGGAGGCCATAAACACGTTTCCCTAT